AGGAGAAAAGCAGGTGTGGAATTCATGTGGTGAGGCAGAAAAGTGCTTCCCAGTGGCTGGAATGGGCACAGGCTCAAATTCAAAACACCGTTTTTGAGAAAACCATACCTACCTCTGCCAGAGACCTGCAGAATCTGTCTCTTTTACACACTGACAGCCTTTGTGCAGCTTGTCCTGCCAGCAAAGTCCTATTGAAATGAAAAGCTGTTTCAAAATCCATATCATCAGAACCAATTAATTGTTTCTACCTGCTAGAACATGATCTTTCACTTTTGGAGACATCTGGGCTGTTCCCAGCATAAATTAAGGAGGAAATGGAATTTGGTAAATTGCAGGCAGACCATGTGGATAAACCAGGATCCATGCCAATACAGGGCTTAAGCTTCCAGGAAAGAACATGTGGGGTCATGCCACTGGGAGAAGAAATGATAAAGGTTACACAAGGTTGAGCTGAGAAACATGCTTTTGGGTGGCACAGAAAACACTAGCAGGAGACCAGTCAGAAGTCCACCGTGCCAGCTTTGTAGACATGGGGAATGGCATTGTGTCATATGCAGATGTTTTAGAAGAAACGTCCACAGCACCAAAGGTATTTACATTCTTAACTTCCATCAAAATCAATGATCTTTGCGGATCTGGGCCTGAGAGTGTCTCACCCAATGAAAATAAGTGACAATACAAGGAGTCCTATGAGAAGGGACTGAGGGAAACATTAGCCTATGAAAGAAGCCCAGCCATGCAGTCTACAGGCAATGTAACTAGAAGGGAGGAGCAATCTGGACTACTTGGGTCTATGCTGGGGTGAGCAAGCCACAGGATCTGGCCCATGGGCTGCCCTGCTGGGACCCTCAAACACAGAGCAGCCCCACACCCTTTTAAGCAGCTGTCTGCTCCCTGTTGCTCTCCACTCTAGGCATGAGGTGAGGGAAGGCTTTGTGTGCAGTTCCCATCCCCAGCAAAATCTCTTAGCTCCCATTGGTGGGTTTCTGGCCAACAGAGCTGAGAAATTGTATTGGAGGTGGGACCACTGCATGAAGCCGCCTCCCATCCCAGAGCAGAGAGCAGCCGCCGCTTTGAGCGGTGTGGAGCTGTTGACAGGCAGGGGGCCTGCCTCAGGGTTCTGAAGGGCTGCTGGCCAGGAGCTGCCTAGGTAAGCACTTCCCAGCCAAAGTATGCCCCTAGCAACCCACCACCTCCCTGTACCCCAACTCCCAGCCCCAGGTCACTACCAAAACCTGATGCATCCCCCTCCCCATTTCCCTCGGGTCACAACTCCCTCCCAGACCCTGCACCCCCTTCCCAGGTCATAATCCTCTCCTGCACCTATACCTGTCCCAGACCCTGCACCCTAATTCCCTGCCCCAGATCACAATCTCTTCACCCAAACTTTCTCTCAGACACCACACCCTCTCCTGCATCTCAGTCCCCTACCCCGAGCTCCTTTCTGCACCCAATCCCTGTCCCAAACCCTGCCCCGCATAGAAAAGTGTGGCCCTTGAGCACTTGCTAAAATATTGGAATAGCTCCCCCCAATCCAAAATTATTGCCCAGATTTGGCCTATGCCCTAGTCTGTGTCTAATTCATTCTGTTACTTTAAGAAGTGGCTTCACTCCTGGGCGCACATGGTAGTTAAGTGCCATGCTGGCATGGAAAGTCACGGCACCTTGGACCTTTGAATAGTTCGCCCAAAATTGGGCCCTAGTATTTTTCCTCCTTAGCTTAACTTCCTGGCTTTGCCCAGCACCAATGTCTCTGATTTAAGGCCTCTTTGGCATGTGAGTCAGGAGAAATTTCTCACACAAGTCAAGCAGGTGTACAAAACTGATCCTGTGCAGAGCACCCTATGGTCAGTGCTTTGAAGGGAAGATGTTATAGAAATGTCAGCTATGGTGAAATCTGTGAACCCCCCCTGCATAAAGAATGTATTAACCCAGTATTGTATTTTATCATTATTCTGGCCTGGTGGGGCCTGGATCCCAGTGTTCCTAGAGCTACAGCCCATCCTTACCTGTGTTCAGACAATAAAACAACCATGCTACGGGGGTTATGGAGTGGACCAGGGTACTAAGGGATTGTGACTCCCTGGAACAGCCTCTGTCCCATGCACTTGGGGCCAGATTTGTAAAGGTATTTCAGTTGCCTAAAAATGCTTAAAAAGGGCGGAGTAGCATTTGAAGTGGGGGTTAGGCACCATAGATGCTTTAGAAAATCGCACCACCTGCTGACCAGCACCTTTAGGTGCCTACACGCCTTGGCAAAGCTGGTCTTTTGCTATTCCCCCTGGTCCCTAGTGGCCGATAAAGTGCGTCAGTGTTATCCTGGACCCTGAATTATCCAGTATGCCTTCATGGACCACTTCCTTCTTGTCCTTGAGTTACAGCGGCATTGCTTCGGCCTCTAATTACAACCAGCGGCTAGGTGTTCACTCGGATCGCTTAATTAATTAATTGTTGTTAATTAATCGGCATGGGTTGCTGGGCTAGTTAAACCAGGCGGGTTTAGTTATTAGCCCCTCATTAATTCCCACGGGGAGCCCTTAATGACCCTATCTGATGAATTACCCCCGAGTAGCAGCATGCTCCCTCCTCCCCCAGTTCTCGGGAGTGCGGCTCCGGCGAGAGGCAGGTCCCGGCTCCTCCCGGCTCAGGCGAGCCCCGGCGGCCGCGCACCAATGGGGCTGCGGGGAGCCAGCCGAGCCCTCCGCGGGGCGGGGCGGCCCGGGCTGGAGCGTCCCGCGGGTCATGTGAGCGAGCGGGCCCGCATGGAAGGGCGCAGCCGGCTGGTAAGGGGAGCGGGGCCGCGCTGGGTCGGGGGGGGGGGCTGGTTCTGCGCTGCAGGGGGCGGCCCTTGGCCCCTATGGCCAGAGCTGCACCCCCCCCTCCCCGTGCAGGGGGGAAAAGCAGCAGCGGCGCCGTCAGCTGTGCGGGGGGGACGCAGTCGCCACGTGTGTGGGTGAAGATCTGCAGAGAGGCGCTTCCCGCGGGGGGGGGGGGGGGGCAGCGCGCAGAGGGGCCGGAATGCAGTGCGGGGGGGCTTTGGTGCACACTCTCCCCCCCCCCCCCGGCGTTTAAAGGGTCCCCCCAGGCTCGACCGGCTTCCGCCAAACTCGGGATCTGTGTGGGGAGGGCGACTTGCCGTCCCGTGGGGAGTCACTCCGGAGTGAAACTCAGTCGGGTCTAGCAGGCCTCTCGCAAACTCCCAGACCGCATGGTTGACACTAGATCTGGCCGTTCAGCGGTGGCCGGAGGGTGGCCCGCCCCTAGCCATGAATGGAGGTGGCCGGAGTGAGCAGGGAAGTTGCATGGTAGGCAAGGCAGCTTAAGCTGGTGCATGCTTCATTTGCGGTCCCTTCCCCAGGCGGACCGAATGCCTATGGTCGCTTGCAACTGTGGCTTTTACTAACCGGAATCACCAGAGAGCCATGTGGCACAGGGTTGCTCTGTCTTTGCTAGTGCTTTAATGCTAATTCTCTGTCTCTCTCGTCCCAGGGTCTACAAACCCCTCTTTTGCCTTGTTGCTTCTCCTGAGGTAGAGCGGGTTTTGTGCAGATGGCCAGACTGAGATACAGAGAGAAATAATTTGCACAGAGAGGAAAAGTCACTTGCAAGATAACTCAGGAAGTGTCTGGCTGAGCCAGGGATAAAATCCAGACTTGATTCCTGGTCCCATATTTCGAGCATCCTTCTCCTTTGTCTCAAGTAACTAATCTGTTTTGTGGATCTATTTTACCTGGGGTGCAGCTCTCTCCTTGCTCTCATTTTTGCAGAGCAGTGTTTGTGCACTAATGTCCATGTGTGCTCACTAGTCCTTGACTAGTGTGGGCATTTCTGTATCTGTTTTCACTGGTCACTGATAGTGCTGTCAGTGCCTTACAATTAGTGATGTGAAAGTGGAACCATGCAAACAGTTAACCAATAAACCTGAGCTTATCGGTTAACGTTCAGTTACACCCAGGCTCCTGCCCTGCTCCTGGGGACCCCACTGCCACCATGCACTGCTGCATCTGTATCAGAGGCAGCAGTGTAGGGGTGCCATCCGGCTCCATGGGAGTGGGGCTACAGGTGGGGACCAGTGTGTACCAGGAGCTGGTATGCACGGGGAGCCAGCTTAAAAGCCAGCTCCCGGGGAGCTGACTGCCACCGTGTGTGTAATCGCTGACATTTTCAGCGGCTATACACATTCAGTTACACACATTTTAACATCTCTACTTAGTATCATCATTTACTTATTTTGCATTAATGTAGAGGTCCTATTGTGCTAGGCCTTGTATCAATCCGCCCCAAAGGATTGATAGTAATTTTGCCATTTGGGGTGTTTTTAAAAAGGGGAGGGAATGTACCACACTGATTAGCTAAGGAAGTTGGAAGTAGGGGCCTTTGGGTTCTGTTTCCAGCTCTTGCCCATTGTGACCTCTGGCAAATCGCTTACTACTTTGTGCCTATCTGTGATTGCAGTGTATTGGCCTGCTTTGCAAGGTCTTTGGGAGGCTTGAAGTGCTTTTAGATCTTCCCATAGCTTAAGATGCTGTAGAGGAGACAAGGTGGGATAGGTAATGACTTTTACTGGATCGTGTCTATTGGTGAGAGAACAGGTGGCTGAGATGCTGTCAGTGACACCTGAGTGTGCCTGTCGTTGGCCTCGTTGATCTGAGCATTTTATGCGATCTTTTTAATGATTGTTCTCACTATGTCCTTGTGAAGTGGGGCCCTGCTAAGGGGAAATGGGCACCGAGAGATGGAATGACTTTCCTGAGATGTCATAGGGACTGGCAGAGTAGGGAATTGAACTCATGCCTCGTGAATTCCAGATGATTGTGCTAATTGCTGGAAAACCCTTGCTGTCCTCTGAGAATGCTTCTTCCGCTATCCTCCTTGTTGTAAGAGGTGTCAGCTCACTTGGACTTTGCAACCTGGGCCCTGCAGCCTCCTGGAGGAGAGGCGTGCTGGAAGGTTTCACAAAAGAACTGACTCCTAAGGGAGGAGTTGGAGGAGGATAAGGAAGGTGCATGGTGTGCAGAGGGTGGGAAGCTGTTGTAAACGTAGCCTGAAAGGAGTCGCTCTGCGGAAGGGTGGAGAGGGAAGTATCGGGATTGAAGCAGGAGTGGAGAATGAAATGGGAGCAGAAGAATAGACATGGCCTGTGGAGAGCCTTGAAGGTAACGATGAGGCATTTGGACTTAAAGCTGGAAACCCAGCCTTGGGATCTGAAGTTTGGGCCAGTTCAGCCTCCCCCCAGGTCATCTCTTGTCTCGCATACACTCAGTGTTGGCTCCTGTTCATTGTACCTTGGTGAGAGATGCAAAGGCATGTTACGGACGCGGTTGCGAAAGGCCTTGAGCAATTTTAGGGTCTTTGTCCTACATTTTGCCCTTGGCACATCATCAACGAAGTCAGGTGGTTGGGTTTTTTTATTTTCAAGGCAGGGCTTGCTAAAACTGGAATGCTCCTCAGACTCTGTCCTTCCCCATGGTAGCGGACCTGGGCAGATGGTGCGAGCAAGGACTGGCCCAACTGGTTTGCACAGCTCTGAAGGAATCCATGTATGTATTTGCTTACACACAGGAAGTTACCGGCTCACAAGTGGCTCTAATATGGGCTTCCTTTCTCTCTCCTCTTGCTCCTTGCTACTTTTTAATGATATCTCCGATTTTATCTTCTGAATCCCCTCCCACGACTAGTCAGGACTTTGCAAAACCACTCTCTCCCCCTCCCCCCCCATTTACAATTGCACACCGTCTGTCTGGCAATGGCTGCAGTGATTGTTGAAACAGAAGAGCAGTATCAGGAAAGTATTTCATGCATGGCAAGGCGGCTGCTAATGCAAATAATGGAAGCAAGGAAGAAAGCTTCCATCCCATGACAATGCGGATTTCTGCAGATCACTACACCTCCCAGTTATTTGGGAGTACCACAGCAATTTAAAAACCTCAGCAGAGGCTTGTGTGTCATCTAGTTGTTCCTAGATGTGTGCACTGGTAAATAATCTCTGTGTCACTTCTTTGCAGGTGAGCTAATGCTTTTGCTACATCAGGATTACCTGCTGTATGTTGCACAGGCATCCTGCCTGGACCCTTGGACATCTTTACACGCAGAAGGGAGGCTGGTCAACAAATGGTCTCTGTGATTTGCAGCGAGCAGCTCCCTGCTTTGGACCCCGTGACCCCACCAGCTGGTGCCTCTTGGCTGGACAGTGACGCTCTGGCTCAGAAGACCAAGATGCCGTCCTGCATTCTGCCGGAAGACTGTGGCACAGACACGTCAGACCCTCTGGATGGCTCCAGTCGTCGCTGTGGCAGCTGCCCTTCGCCAGGTGCCTGCCTCCGAATGGCCACAGGGAAGCAAGAAGGCGAGAAATCCCAGGCCACCCTCTATGAAGCTCATCTGAAGCTGCCCGACTTCTGCCCTGACCTCTCTAGAGATTTCATCCCCACTCTGGAGGAGATCGAGGAGTTCCTGAAAGAGAAGATGGAGCTCCTCAAGGATGAGCGGAGTGAGAAACAGCCCATCAGAGGGAAGCTGGAGATCAGCTTGGCCAACCCCGGAGAGCCGCCTGTGCCCAGGATGGGTCTGGAAGGGGGGGCGTTGAGCTCCACCGAGGTTGAGGGAATAGCCGGTGCAGCGGGCCTGACGTTGGGTATTGGGAGCATCCCTGTTCTCCTCCAGATCCAGCCCGTCCAAGTGAACAGTGGGAGTCCCCCACCGACGAGTGCTGGGGATGGCATCAAGGTGGCCCAGCTGGTGGTCAGCGTGCAGGGCCAAAGCCTGACCTTTGTCCCTCAGGTTGCTCAGCCCCCCATGACTCTCTCGGACCAGAAGTACGTCAAAATAGCCCCCCTGCCCATTGCTCAGAGGCCCGGGGCGCTGGGCAGCGCTAAAGGGCTGGAGGCTGTCCCCAAGTTCCAGAAGGTCTCCCCGTCCATCGTCCGCCTCCACAAGTGCGTGCACCCCGGCTGCGGCAAGATGTACACGAAGAGCTCCCACCTCAAAGCCCACTTCCGGCGCCACACTGGAGAGAAGCCGTACACCTGCAGCTGGCCTGACTGCGGCTGGAGGTGGGTGGGCGCACGGAGCCGCCTGGTGCTTGCGGCTCCTGCTGCAGGGTCTGGCCCCTGCCTGCGCTTAAAAGAACTAGCAGCCGCCTGGCAGGTCCTGCTTTTCTCAAGTGCTCGTCCCCCGCAGTGGGGGCCAGGTTTTCAGGAGCGCTTGCAGGGGGTGCTGAGCTCTTAGAAACCTGGCCCTGCAGATTGTGACCTCTTTAAAATCCCACGGTCCTGCCTTGCTGCTTCCCTGTCTGCAAGATTTTTGACTCTGCGGTTGTCTTGTCCTGTTACTTAGCTGGCTTTGTCTGCTCTTCAAAGGTACGCAGCGTCCTCTGTTAACCCTAAAGCTCTTGAGAGAGCTGATTCTCTGCTATCACTGTCCTTTCAGTCTAGCAATTACTATTTTTTGCACTGAATCCTGGACTAAATGTATCTTAGCTCCTAGACTCCCAACGGTTAATTTTCACTCCTTGGCTTCCCCCAAGTCATCTGATTCCTGGGTTATCTCCTATGCTGACTGGTTTGGCTGAGATTGTAACTTTTAATGCAGGAGGGGAGTTTTAACTACAAAGCTTTTTCTACACTGACGTGATCTTGCACCTGAAATATGCAAATGAGGTTAAGTGTGTAATATCGCCAAGTCTCATTTGCATATCTAATGAGCCACCATTTTTGCGGAAGAGGGTCTTGCGCCAGAAGGAGCATCTACACTGCCCCATCTGGCGCAAGAAAAACCCTCTTGCGCAATGCTATTAGTCCTGAAAATAATCAGCGTAACGGCATTGAGCAAGAGGGTTTTTCTTGCGCAAGAAGGGGCAGTGTAGATGCTCCTTCTTGCACAAGAGCCTCTTCTGCAAAATGGCGGCTCATTAGATATGCAAATGAGGCTCAGGGATATTCCATGCTTAGCCTCATTTGCATATTTCTGGTGCAAGATCGTGCCAGTGTAGACATAGCCCAAGTGACCTGCCTTTGTTCTGGGATTCAGTTTTTTACAGTGAATTAGAGAAAATGTCGTTCCATCCCAGCCCTCCTCAAAGCTTTGACAGGACATTTAGATGAAATTTTCCGGAACACACCTAAGTCCCATTGGAAGTGATTTTTAGGTAGTCACTCAGGAGTGTTTGATAATGTTGCCCCTTGTCTGTTTCTTATTGGTTCTGTCTGTACATTGTCCACTTAAGAATGTTTCATCTAGTGCATCTCCCATTGCTTCCCATAGGAACTTGTCAATCAAATCACTTACATTGTTCCTGTTTATCCTAAGTTTTACTTTGCTTTATATCCTCCCTTTCTTCCTAGTTAAGAACTTCCTGAACCACCCTGTCTGTGTTCCCACTCTGGACACTTAAACCCTTCAGATGCTTGTAGGCAGTTTTATCTCCACGTTCTCTTGGGATCAGGTTGTATGTAGAATCCTCTGCTCTGTAAGTCAGCCCAGCCAGCCTCTCAACCGTTTGTGCTGTTCTCTTAGTCTCTTCCAGTGTGCTGACCTCTTCTTCATATTCATGTGGCGCAGGCTGCAGGCAATACTGCCTCAGCAGAGCTATTGAGGGGGGAGCTAATAGCATTCCTGATCTTATGCAGTGCTTTGGTGTGCACTGCAAGAAACTGTATTGGTATTTTACCATGTGCGGCATTGCAATCTGCTATCTACCTTGCTGTCCAGTGTCTCCTTGTGGGAACAGAACTTTGCTCCTGTGTTCAAACTTAGCAGTGTAGACCTAGTCCGAGCTGCTGCTGATTGGATCTTCCCCTCCCAGACCTGCTTATCCTAGAGAGCTGGGATGTTGTCATTTGCTGCTCGGGGCAAGCTAGAAAATAAACCAGTGCTGCTCATGGAAGGTCTGGAGACCGCCCTGGGATGCGATTAATTTCTGCAGTGCTGTTCGTGAGCAGACCCATAGGCACAGCATTTTACAGTACCAGGTGCAAACTGAAATACTATCGTAGCAAGCTTTGTGTGTAACTGAAACGTCTGGCTTCACATTCTTTTCATATGTTTCAGCCATCTGGAAAAACCCTTCTGTCTAATGCTTCTGCCATATGCGTGAGCTTCGCAGGGCTGGAACACGGAGTCAGTCCACTCCTTGTTTGGTGTTCTCCGGTTATGTTTGCAAATGTGAAGCCTCACAGGGGGGGGATAGCCCACCGGTCCTGAGGCTTTGTGACGAGGATGCTGCCAAACCCAAGTGTGTGACAGCCTAGTCACAGCGCATTCCTTCCTGTAGGATTTGGATTTCTGTGTGCCCAGTGTAGCACGGAGGAAAGAGGAGAAATTGGGTGGGGATTTGAATGCAGTAAAGAGTTTTTTTTTTTTTTTTTTTTTTTTTTTTTTTTTTGAGAGGTTAAGATCAACTTGATCTGTAGAATTGAGGAGCTGACTTGAGGGATGTATCCAGGTACCACAGTGGATGAGGGCCATGGGAATATGTGGCTCTTTCACTAACATGCCTCCAGATGGAGATTTTAGTGTTGGACTGCAAAACGTAGCATGCAGTCTTCACCCTTGGCGTTCACTCTTTAAACTGGTTTGAGGATGGGGTCCCTGCCCTCGGGCTGGAACATGGCACAGGCTGATACTCAGGGAAAGTTGCTGCTCCTGCTGGCTGTTAATCAATTGAAAAAGCAAGCTCATGCCATGGTTTATAGGGCACTCGGAGGCAACTGTGTAGAGTCTGGGGTTATCCCCAGTGGTCTGGGGAGAGAACAGAGGCGGGAGCAAGCCCATCCTGACTAGGACAGCCTTGCTGCTGCTGTGGCCTTGTGGCCATTTTGCAGCTGGGAACAACTGTATAAATTCCTCTCTGCCCACATCGGGGATTGAAGTTGCACCAGGGATTAATGTGGCCTGGTGTGTGTTTGTAGCAAAAAGGGGAACTGCCAGGATCTCTGCTGTGGTTGTGGAAAGAGGAACTGGGAGGCCGGTTCCATATGGACTTGAAGCAAACTGCACTCCCCTCTCTGCCTCGGGGGGGCTGTTGGGAACAACTGTATAAATTCCTCTCTGCCCACATCGGGGATTGAAGTTGCACCAGGGATTAATGTGGCCTGGTGTGTGTTTGTAGCAAAAAGGGGAACTGCCAGGATCTCTGCTGTGGTTGTGGAAAGAGGAACTGGGAGGCCGGTTCCATATGGACTTGAAGCAAACTGCACTCCCCTCTCTGCCTCGGGGGGGCTGTATGTCACAAGGGAGCTGAGGGAGTCTAGCAGCGGTTGCAATTGACCCCCTCT